TGAATTATTGGTAGAATATGATGTTTTTATTGAAGAATTTTTGAAATTGGATAAAAAGTAATATTAATTAATCAATTTCAATCAATTAAATGCATATGCAAATATATTAAGAACAGTTTTTAATAAATTAATTATAGATTTCAAGATATTATTTCAGATATTGCCAAAAAAATGGGTAATGGAATGGCTGATTATGCAAAAAATGCAGCATATGAACAATATGGAGTTATGAGTATTAAAGATTTTGATTTATATTGTCATTATGTGGCTGGATTGGTTGGATTGGGTCTTAATGGTTTGTTTGTTGCAAGTGGTTTAGAAAGTCCTGAATTAGCAAAAAGTAGTGATCTGTAAGTTACATAATATATACCTTTCTTGTTGTAATCATCATCTAATTATCATTTATTCAATTTTTATTAGTGCAAATATAATGGGACTTTTTTTACAAAAAGTAAATATCACTCGTGACTATCTAGATGATCTTCTTGAGAATAGAAAATTCTGGCCTAAAGAAATCTGGTCACAATATGTTAATGATTTATCAGATCTTAAAGAACCTGGATATGAAACAAGAGCTCTAGACTGTTTATCCGCCATGATTCATAATTCTCTTGAACATGTACCACAATGTCTAACTTATATGAGCCAAATTAAAAATCAAAGTGTCTTCACATTTTGTGCCATCCCACAAGTAATGGCTATTGCAACTATGGCTTTGTTATTTAGAAATTATAATGTTTATAAAGGCGTTGTTAAAATTCGTAAAGGTGAAGCTATAAAGGTGATTCATTCATTCATTTTTTTATGGTAAAATTTTAAATTAATATAATTAATATATAATTAATTGGCCTATTTGTATATTTATATTTTGTTAGTTGATTTTGAAAGCCACAAATATTTATGAGGTAGCAAATATTTTTATGGAATTTACAAAGGTAATTATTCAAAAGAATAATTCAAAAGATCCAAATTTTATGAAGATTAGTGTTGCCTGTGGTCAGGTAAGGAAAAGAATATTATTATTGTTAATCTTTTCCATTTGTTATTTTCTATCATTGCATTAAATTAATATCATATATTATTTATATAGATTAAACAATGGTGTCATACTAATTTACCAGATTTGGATAAATATAATTCTGGTACATCCCAATTGAAACCTAAAGATTCACAAAATGATAATGATTTATTGATTTTCTTTAGTTTTTTATTATTAGCATTTACCGCTTATTTATTATATTATTGTAGGGAATATTTTTATTATGATGGATTAGAAATTTTAGATTTATTCTATTCATCATAATAATTTTTTGATTATTCTCCTCCTTACTTTCTTATTCTTATCAGAATAAATTTTTTTAAAAAAAATATATTATAAAAAAATTATAATATATAACGATGATCCGTAAACTTGTAAAAAGGGGCGAGGCCTTTTTTTTGGGGTTTACAGGACTTTAGTTTGTGCAGAAAAGATTTTGTGTACGTAATTTTTGGGAATAATGGATATGTTGTGCGTGAATTTTAAATTGAAATTGACACACAACAGATACACAGTGAATCTCGGTTTAGCGGACCTCAATTTAGCGGATGCTAATTAAAAATCTCGGTTTAACACCTTCTCGATATAACAGTTTCTCGAAAATTTCCCAAACTTCAAGCTGATGCTATCCCAAAATATACATTTAAATATCAAGTTTCATTAATACTAATGATTTATTTTTTCGCTTCAAGTATTCTTTCCTGAATAAATGAATAATAACAATAACTTATGGAATCTAAAAATTTTCTATTTAATTACCATCACTAAGTCAATGATGATAAAAATCACTAAAAAATATAAAGTTTTAATTCAATTTTGGCACGAGTGAATTGATGTATCGTAGTGAATCTTTTTAAAAATTACTATTAGTTTCTTTGTGACAATTAATGTAAATGGGTATCTGGATATTTTTGTCCAAGGAGTGTATAATAAATATGTTGTGTATGTTATTATTTAAAAAGATTTATCTGTATTATTAATTGTATTGATTTTTCAATTATTATATTTATAATTGAAAAGAAAAGAAAAAGGTTGTTTATTATTATTATATAAATATTTCTTTTCTTTTGGTATATATACTATATATATATAAAATATTTAAAAAAGTTTATATATGAATATGTACAATAATATTGATTATACTATTATTATTATTTCGTATGTTTGTTAATTTCTATTCTCATATTGATAAATTGTTATCTTAATTACTAACCAACCAATTAATTAACCAGTACCTTGATCAACTATATATAAATATAAATATCTGTTTCTCTCTTTCTATAATATATAAATCATTAAATAATATGTATTATTATTATAATTATTATTTTAAGAAAAAGAATGATAATTTGATATTATTAATAAACTAAAACTAATAAACCAATAATAATAATAATAATAATAACAATAATAATAAAACAAAATAAAAATAAAATAAATTGTATCAAAGTTTTTGCTAATTCTCCCCCCTCCACCTCTTTTATTTCAAACATCATCTATTTGTTGTGTTGATGGAGAGAAATCATCTCTTTGATTTTTTCTTTCAGGCCTGGCTCTAGTAAATTTATTATTATTCTTACTACTACTATTAATATTGTTACTAATATTGATGTTACTACTATTACTAATATTATTACTATGGATATTATTTGTTGATATTTCATTTATGATAGTACTATCATTATTATTATTATTGGTATTATTGTTATTGATGCTACTAGTGTTTGTATTATCAGATTCCAAAGGTCCATACTGTTTTTCATAACGATTCACTTTTGCATGCATTTGAAATAAAAGATCTTGAAGACGTTCCATCTCTTCTTCTAAAACTATACTTTGTTTTCCTGTTTCTATTATATATATAATGTATATCATACATAAATTTATTATTACAAGAAATTATTGTTAATGTTTAATAAATTAATCATCATACTTTTAATTGCAATTTTCAACTCTTCAATAACTTTTCTTTGCAAAGCTATCTCCACTTCATATTGTTCCACGCGTCCTTGTCGAAGTTGTCTGCCTAATTCTTCATTTTCATTTTGTAATGTTCTCAATTTCTCTACAAGTTTCTTACCTGTAATACTTTGGAAAAAAATAATAATTTAAACAAAATAATTGAATATATAGGTAAGTGTACACGCACACATATATAATGACATACCTATTAGGTGTAAATCCTACACCATCCAACTCTCTCTTTAAATTTTCAATTGTTTTATCTTTTTCTTCTAGTTCCATTTTCATAGTACGAAATAAAGCATTAATAGCAGGATCAAGAAATTTTTTCCGGTAGGCTGGTTCATAAGAAAATTCAGGTGCAAGTGTTTGAGATAATGTTTGTAATTCACCCTATTAAATAATATATTAATATATTAATTATATGCACATGTGTATGCATATATGCATTTTAATTAATCAGAGTAATTAAATTCTTTTTTTTTTTTCCTCAAAAAAACCCTCCATCATTACCAATAGATTTTGAACTTCTTCTTCCTTTTTAACTAATTTGATTAACAAATCTTGTTGCGAAAGATGCCCTAAATTTTGTAACATTTGAAGTTGATGAGATTGTTGTGACGATGTAGAAGAAATAGAAGAATTTTTCTGGTGAGTATTATTAATAGTTGAAGTGGTATTATTATTATTAATCCTAGTATTCCTATTGTTATTATTATTATTATTATTAGCTTTATTATTATTGTTAATGTTATTGTTAATATTATTATTGTTAGTGATATTATTAATATAATTATTAATCGGATCATTATCAATCATAATATTGTTGGTGTTCATAGCATTTAAAGTATTTGTTATTGGTATAGCAGGTGAAGAGATCCTTTTATTCTTTAAAGGTGATGATTGTGCAAAAGATTCTGTTTTAGTGTCACCACTGCCACCACCACTACCTATCGACATATTTAAATAACTTGGTGGAGCCGATGGAGAGTTAATGGTATTGGTATTTATTAGAGTTGTTAATGATTTTGTTGGTGTTGAAGATAATTTTGGAAATGCTGTTGTTAAACTTTGATTGGGTGAATTTTGTGTTGTAGTAATTGCACGAACTAAAATTAATTGAAATTGTTATTTCAATAAATAGGAAAAAAATAAATAAAATTATTTTTAATATTTTTTTTAATTCTTTCTTCACCTGAATTACCACTACCACTACCATTACTACTACTACTACTATTATAATTTATATTACTATTGCTATTGTCATTATTATTACTACTACTACTGTTGTTATTATTATTATTATTATTATTATTATTATTACTATTGATACTATTACTATTACTAATATTGTTGTTGATGTTGATGTCGTTAACGCGATCACCAGAAAAATCTGGTTTATTCTAAAAATCAAATTAAAATAACCAATATTAGTTGAAAACCAATATCATATATAATTAAAATTTAAAATATTCAATGTACCTTTTTTAATTGTTCATTAATGGCAGTAACACGTTTTTCTTTTTATTCATTTATTTTATTTTTTTCCCCATTTAAAAAAACATTGTTTAGATTTTCCTTCAAATGAAAAATAAAACAAGCCAATTTTTTAAAATGGATTCAAAAATACCTTCAATTGGTGAAGTTGAAATTCTTCTTTTCTTTTGAGGTGAAAAGGGCCCCGACATTTTTATTTTATTTAAGTTTTTTATTCTTTATTTAGAGTTTGTTAAATAGTGAGTTAAAAAATTCTTGTGGTTTTTTTGAATGCTATTTTGGTACAATAATAGTGTATGTGTGGATTTTTAACTGATAATTGATTGGCTAGTGGTTGCGTATTTGTAAAAAACTCCGAGAATAAAGTTTTCAGGGCCTTGTTCTGTTGTAGCCATGTCCCTATTTATCAGTTAAAAAGTAAATAATAATAAACATGTAGAAAAATGTGACACATGCATCAAATATTTAAAAAAAAAAAGGAATTCTTCCTCTCTCTCTTTTTTTCCTATCATTTTTTTAATTTATATATATATTTAATTCTTCGACATGAGTGATTGGCAAGATCGTGAACAACCTGATACTTTAGTTTTATTTGATGTGGACGGTACATTGACACCAGCTAGAAGGGTAAGCTGACCGACTATATATCTATATTAAAATCATAAAAAGAAGAAAGTAAAATTGTTTATAAATAAAAAATTTTTTTTAGCAAGTCACTCCAGAAATCTCAGATTTGTTGAAAAAATTAAGAAAGAAAGTAGTCATTGGATTTGTTGGCGGATCAGATCTTGTTAAACAAATAGAACAACTCGGATCAAACGGTAATGATTGATTGACTGATTGATCGTTTTAAAGAAACAAAATTTTCTTTCCTGGAAAATTACTTATTTAATTTTTTTTAGTTCTCAATGATTTTGACTTTGGATTCTCTGAGAATGGACTTACTGCTTATAGATTAGGAAAACAACTTGCTTCTCAAGTATTTATTAATAACTGATAATTGATAGTTGAATGCTTTCTTCTTTCTAACCATAATTATCTTTTTTTCTTTAAATTAAAAGAATTTTATTGAATGGATAGGAGAAAAGAAATACTCTGCGTTGGTGAATTTTATTTTAAGATACATAGCAGATATTGATTTGCCAAAGAAACGGTATTATTATCATATTTTGAAATTGTTCAAACCGGGGATTTTATCAAGTGAATTGATCATTTATCTTTTGTGTTTAGTGGTACATTTGTTGAATTTCGTAATGGAATGATCAATGTGTCACCAATTGGACGTAATTGCAGGTATTTTATTTTATTTTATTCTTTCATTCAAAAAAGAATATAATTCAATTTTAACATCAATTTTTTTATTAGTGTTGAGGAAAGGAATGCTTTTGAAGAATATGACAAGGTATTTTATAAAGAACATTTTAGGCGATTCTCTCATTATTTATATATTATCATTATTAAATATATATCTTTTTATTTAGATTCATAATATTCGACCTAAATTTGTTCAAGCATTAAAAAATCAGTTTCCAGATTATTCTCTTACATATTCAATTGGTAAATAAATATAATATTAATTTCATTAGCAAAAGATTAATAGCAACATTAAACAATAATAAAATAAATAATCTAGGTGGACAAATTTCTTTTGATATATTTCCTACTGGATGGGATAAAACTTATTGTTTAAAACATGTTGAAACCGAAAATTTTAAAACCATACATTTCTTTGGTGATAAAACATATCAGGTATACTATATTATATGAGAAAGAGTTATATTGTATATGTAAGTTATTTAATTATGTTAATACTAATACTAATATTTTATTTTAGGGAGGAAATGACTATGAAATTTTTGTGCATCCCAAAGTTACAGGACATTCAGTTAAAAATCCAGATGATACAAGTAGAATATTAAAAGAATTATTTAATATCTAATATTTATTATTTGGTAATATTTAATATTTAATATAATTGTTGTCACAATGTCTTGTTGTGAAATGTTTTTTACCATTATTTCTATAAGTTTCTTGAATCAATTCATAGAAATATTTATAATACCATAATAAATTATCATATTTGCCATCATAATCATAACTATTACTGTTACTACTATTATTATTAGATAATGAAATTTCATCATATTCTCTTAAAAAATAATAAACTGCTTCAATGGTTGCCAAATAATTTTCATTTTTGTTCTGATATCTCCAAAATAATGTTTTTTGTGGTTTAATTGTGACTTTTCTCAACTTTCTAAATGTTGGATTCTTTTTGGTCATAGAAATTGCTTGTCTCCATGTACCATCAACCACAATCAATTTATCAAATGAATCTAAAGAAATATCTTTTAATAATTTAGCATCCTAAAAAAAAAATTAATAAAAAAATATAAATATTTGAAACCTTTAACCAATTAGCATACTAAAAAAAAACCACTTTACAGGATCTGGAAATAATAATAAAACTCTATCTGGATTTGTTATCTCTGGAATATTTTCATGAGAATAAATTTCCACATCATCAGGTGCAATTAATTTAGCATGGGGAGCTGTTGATTTACCATCTAATTCTTGGTCATGCTTAACACTAATAAAAATTAATATAGATAATTAATAATATTATTATTGTTATTATTATTACTCAAATATTAAATATATTACTTACATATCAATTTTAATTGGTAATTTTAACTTTGGTATAAACTTTTCATCATCTTTTCTGATTCCAACAATTTTATAACAATAATAACAGTAATATTTTACAGGTTTATTACATAGTTTGCATGGAATTCTATCATTATTTTTATAATTATTAATTAAAATATCTATTGATGAAATATTTTCAAACTTATCAAATGGAGAAGTTGGTGTTTTTTTTAATCTTGTTGTAGATTTGTTATTGTTGAATGGTAGTGGTGGTATTAGTGAATTGTATTTTTTTAAATTTTGCTCTGATTTGTGAAGTGATAAAGTACCAAATAAATCTGTTATAGAGTCTTCTTCTGATAGAGAAGATATTGGCAAGATTGTATTAAATACTTTTTTCATAATTAAAATAAGTACATAAATAAATTAATTAATTAATATAAATGTTATTTACATATATCATCAATATTCAATTTAAAATTTAATTCATTACCTTGTTCATTTTGATTCATTATTATTATTATTTTAAAAAATAATTTTTAGCTTTATTAATAAGTAAGCGATCACCAAGAATTAGCCACAAAACAATATTATCTTGATTTTTCAATCCTTGTATATATATTGATTGGTCCAATCTTTGAATTTATCTCTGACAAAATGGACGAATGTTACTGTAAAGGGTTTAATATCCATAACACATTTAATCAATTCTAGTAGCTATTAGTCATATATTAAGTCCATTTTAATCGTTACTAAATTAGGGGTTTACCCTCTATGTTAGCAACCCTGCAAATAAATTTAAACCATTTTGGACAGTTATGATTTTTTAATAATCCTTGACCATGTTGGCAATTAACATCCCAATTTTGTACCGGTGTAAATTCTTTTGACATCAAATAGGTTAAGCAAACTATTAACTATCATTATATTTGATTTATTCATTAATTTAAGAAATTCATATCACAAAAGAAAAGATATCAAGGAATTCAACTGCAAACTAGTACAGCTTTGGAAACTATCTGCGATAAATCTACGTTAACATATTAATTAATATGGAAAATGTTTTTGATAATACAATGAAATTAAAAATTAAATTAAACCATCCGACGCAGTTGAAGTTATCACCAGAAGCGATTTCATCGGACCCCAAATACATATTTTTTTCTCGCCAACCTTTAATCGATTTCTTAGTCTTTTTTATTTCCTTTGTCTCCTTTATTTTTTTCATCATTTGTATTTTCATCTTCCACCACCACCTTCATTGCCTTCTCTTCCTCCTTACTCTTATTGGCCGGCGGACCATTACCTTGCATTTTTAATACAACACACCCACCATTCCATTCAGGTGGTTTACTAGATTTAATGTAGTCTTTTAAATTAATTAAAATTTTATCCATGACACTTTTATCAACTACTTCTTTATGAGTATTTTTATTGTTGCTAATAATGATATTTAAATTATAACCTTTTGATAGAAACTCAATTGCTTTATTAATTTTATGTGACAAATCATTCTCGCTGATCCTCCAACCAAGTTTTAATTCTTTATGGATATTTTGTGGTAGATGACTACTTTTTGATTTGACCTTTGATGATCTTCTTTGTGCCTCATAAAATTCTTTTTTCTTGATCAATTTGCAAACCGGGGGAATTGCTGATTTGTTTACTTCAACTATACAATATTGTGATCTATCCAACGATGATAATATTGATCGCAAAGATTTTATACCTACAAGAATACCTTGTTCATTAACATAATTCACCGAATCTGATGATATCTCTTCATCTATCCTTGGTCTACTTGATAATGAATTTGATGAAGAGTATGATGAATATTGTTGATAATGATGATGATAATAATAATAATGATGGTGGTGGTGGTGGTTGTTTAATTTGATTTTGTTGTTTAATTGATTGACATTAATAATCAAATTATCTTTTTTGTTATAATTATTAAATTTGAATATAAAATTATTAAATGTTCTCTTCATTTTTTTTTTCTAAAGTTTTGTGTTACCAATGTCGTGATCTACATGTCAAAAAACATCAACAGTCAAAAAAAATATTTTTTTTAATTTTCAAACCACGCGTATCTTTATCAAAAAAAAAATTGTTTAATTAATATTTTTTTTCCAACAATAATGTCACGAAAAGAACTTAATACTTGTTATTTTTATTCTTCTTTATCTCCATTCTCGCCTATTGAAAGTTCCTCAGTCCATAAAAATTTTGAAGAAAAAACTGGTTATTTGTTGTCTACTATGAATAATTTTTTAAATACTAATGTCAAAGGAACCAAAGATATAGTTTTACCAAATTACAAATATCAAGAAGAACCACCATCTTCTCTAATCATATCATATCATAATACCATAACTGATAGGTTCCATTTAACAAAATTGAACAGTAACCTATCAGTCTCTCTATTTGAAGAAACGTCATCACCACCACCACCATCACCACCACCACTATCATCATCACCATCATCACCACCATCATCAATTTTTGATGGGTCAGAAAAATTTTCTCCGGCCTCTTCCCCAAAAGTTAATAATTATTATTATGTTGAAACTGATTCGCCATTAATTTCAACGCCACAAATCAGTACACAAAATAATAATAATTTGTGTCATCATTCATCACAATCCAAACTCTTTTTTGACAACAAATATTTTGGCAACGTTAATGATCGTCAAAGAACATTTTCTTATGATACAAATAATAACACAATCTCACATGTAAGTATTCCGAATATATCTATATATGCATATTTTTAAAAAAATGGATGTATTTAAATTGAAGATTTATTTATTATAGGACGATTTATCACAAAACACAACCAATGACATTTCAAATAGCAATGAAGAGAATAGAAACATCAAAGCGTTGGAAAATGATGCATTGGAAATGCTTATTAGATTGAGAGACAGCGAGAATGATGGCTCCGTTGATAACGGATACGATGAAGATGATAATCGATTACACAATAGTGATGATGATGCTGCCGCAGAAATGCTTGTTAGATTGAATAATAGTAATGTAGTTCATAATAATAACAAACTAGGTAACGAGGAAGAAATGGACATTGGCAATGAAAATCAAGAAAACTATAAGCAGAATGAATTAGGCTATAGTGATGATGATATGGAGATTAATTCTAGAATTGAAATGAAATCTGATGTCGGAATAAATAAGAGTCATCTAGAAATAGACAATCATAATGTATTAGGAAATAAGAAAATATTGTCAAAAAGTAATAGAGGACTAACAAATAACACAGGAAAACCATTATATTCTTATGCTTCGTTAATTGGACAGGCAATTTTGCAGTCACCAAGAAAAAAACTAATCGTTAGTGACATTTTTAAATGGATATCAAATACTTATCCTTATTATTCAACAATTAAAAGTTCATCATGGAAGGTAAAAAAATTTTCTCGCCTAAATTATATATATATGTGTGTGTGTGTATATGAATTGATTATAATGAATGATATAATTGATTCATAATAAAAATAGACTTCGATTCGTCACAACTTATCAAAGCATGAAATGTTTATTCGGGTAGAAAATGATAATTCTTCAAGAGCATGTTGGTCTGTTAATCCTGATTCAGAAAATTGTTTCGTTGATGGAGTATTTCACCCGGATGTAATTAATTCATATTTATATTTTTTACAAATTTTAATTTTTTTGTTTCTGATATCTAAAATTTTTTTTGTAGATGCTTCAGTACACAAAAAAAGCAAAAAGAAAAGAAAAGAAGTCGAAGGATTAAAAATTCTTATTAAGATTTGGAAATAACTCGTGAAATAAAAATTCGAATATTTTTATTTTTTTTTTGGAAAAAAGGTGATTTGAATGTGTAGTCTAGTTTTGGCAGAACGTTAGATAGTTAATGAATTATTTTTTTAATTAATAAAAAAACTGTAAATTTTAAAAAAAAAATCCAGTCGTGATGCAATCCGCAAAACCAGGTGATCTACACATTTTTAGATGTGTAACGGTAAAAATACTGCGGATTGCATGAAATATTCGACCGAATATTAAAATTTCCATAATAATAAATATCAGTGGTTACACGAAATTCTTAATCCGTACGAACAGCTTTAACATATTCATGGACCTTACAAACTCCACTTTATCACCAACAACTGCTGGTGATGCTGTAGAAAACCGAACATCATTACTTATTGATCCAAAAACTCCAGCAGAATACGCCTTAACCATATTATATAGACAATTTGCAAAGATTGCCGAAAAGAAATTAGAATTCATAATAAAAAATAGTAGTGCGGTTGGTATATTATTTTTGATCGTGTACAATTTTTTATTTTAAACGCTAATACAAATAATATTTTTTAACTTGGATAATCTATAAAAACATTTTAGGATCATGAAATTGATTTCTTTAGCATTTTGGGTTCTGGTGTCGATACAGCTTTTGACAAATTGTTAAATTCCCTGGGTTATATAGCTAGACACAAACCTAGGCCTGTCATTGACACAGTAATGTATTGGAGAAAAAATAAAACGCAATCACATAGACGTCATTTGTAATCTTTTATTATTATTACCATTACTTTTGAGATATACAGAGAGATGGATCTGTAAAAATTTTAATAATAATTCTGTGAACATTTGTTTATAAAATAGGAGTGATACCATATTGATGAGAAGAGATTTTCAAATGGCAGAAGAAGAGCGGATTGGGGTATGTGACTTATTGGGAATAATTGAATTTAGAACTATACCATTTTAGAAATTAGTTTATGATTCTTTTTTTTTGATTAGGAGTTTGAAAGGATCTTATATATATATATATATATATTATTGATTCAAAATTTTTATTTATTAGAAAACTGTATTAGTGAATATGTTTATAAACTCCTTGTTGATCTCTCAATATTTATTTGACTTTATAAACTATTATTTATTGTAATAATAGTAATGTATATATAAACATTTTTATTTTAATATTTTAATAGCAAGCTACACTATATATTTTGGCTCGTACACTTATTGAAATAGTAAAACAATTACAGCCGGAAGCATTAAAAGAAGATATAGGAAAAACTTTGGAAGAAGTAGTATTTAAACCAATTCTGGATTGGAAACCGTATGTTTCTAATGACGATGTTGATAACATTTATTCAACCGTTTCATCATTATTAATTCATTTGCACTACATAATATTGTTAGTGAAGATGTTTCAAGATCAAAACATAAAGATGCAAATTTTACCATGTTTTCAGAACTTATTGGTTGGCTTTCTAAAATACGATTTTGTACTGTTTCTGACCGATTCACAGTACAATTAGAACAATTCATTAAATCAGCTCCAAGTAACATGAAAGAACAAGAAACAAGATTTGAATTGCTTCTTAGAGGAATGCATCATTTAAAATTAAAAGTACGTGTATACGCACACACACACACATATATATATTAATTATATATATATATATAACTAATCATTAATATTGAAATTGGTCGTAGATTTATCCTGTGGAGGCATTAGAAGAGACGGCTGAATTTTTACAGACATTAGCAAAATTTATGAAAGCTGCCGATAGCCCAAAAATAAAACATGCATATGCTGATTTATTTGTTAGATTATTAATGCCTATAGCTGGGGTATGTCTATATATATTTTTAAATTTAATTTCATGATTTATAACGTTGATGAAATTCTTTTGACCAATTAGGTAGCTGATGCAGAGGTCAGATTCCCTGCTTGGGTAAAAGCTGTTGAAATGCTATTTCCAAAAGCATGGAAAATGTTGGAAAGACCACGATATTGCCGTGTAAATTATAGAGTTTTTTTTTTCAAAAAAACTTTTTTAAAAAAAAATTACATATAACAACAAATTTTTTATTTAAAATAGGTCGCATATCCATTAGCTACGACTTTATTATGTGTTAGCCAAAGGGAATATTTTATAAATAATTATAACAATTGTTTAAATGCATGCATACAAAGGTTTAGGGTAATGAATGTTTTTGTTTATTATCTATTAATATTTTTTATTAAAAAAAAAAAAATAAACAAACAATTTAATAAATAATCTGTTAAATAGGACAGTAAATATAGACAAATGGCGATGGGCTGTGTAATTAGATTAGTATGGACATTGATATACCGATGTAATGATGGAACTTCAAATACACATAAAAAATTGGATGAAATAACTAAAATTTTATTTCCTCCTAACCGCAAATCAACAACACCGCCTGATATTCATCCGGATTTATTTGTACAATTCATACATATTGTAGGAATGAAACATCATGATTATTGTATGAAAAATCTTATATTTTTTTTAATGAATTCAGATCTTATGGCTGGCCAGACATTATCACTAGATTATATATCACCTGAACGAATGAGGATTGCAATAAGAGCTTTTATGATTTTATTAGCCAACACTCAAGAATCTGAATTGAAACCAACCTTTCCAAGTAACCCTGATTTGTTCTCTCCTAAACCTCTACTTGGGATTAAATATTCTTCTGATGTTATTACTGAAGAGGTTTTGAATCGAATTGGGTTTAAAGAAGATTTCCATAAATTTTGTGAAATTGCTTTTAAAATTGCTTATATGCTAGATCGTAATTATGGTGGACTGCTTGTGCTGGATGAAAAAATTCATACTTTACGTATCAGCTCTTCACCGATTGTCAATGTAGTAAGTGGTGTTGGTGAAATCAATGGCTTTATAACTCATCATTACTTATCTGTCAATGTATCATATTCAAAGGAAAAACAGCCCTCTTTAGATTTGTTGCGGGAATATGTTAATTCTCTTCCTAGATTAATAAACGATAATACAAAAACAGTCGTGGAAATGTTGTGCAGGTACACTGCCCACGCAGATCCAGAGCTTGCTAAATCATCATTTTATGCTCTAATAAGAATTGCTCACCAGTGTGGTGCTGAAATTGTTATAACAGGTCTCTCACATTTTGTAAATAAAATTGAGGATCAATACACAGATATTTTAACGGGTAGTGGTAGCCATTCTGGAATTGGCGCAAAAAGTGGCGGTGTATTAAGATTATATCTTGATTTGCTAGTTATATGGTTAGGCCAGTTACGGAATAACAAACATACTACTGATACTCGTGGTGATATTAATGTTTTAGATAATTCTACTAATATCACTACACCTCAATCACCAAATGATTCAACTGATTCCTGTACTTGGACAACAATTATTGAAGTGATCGAAGCCAATGGATTATTGTTTCTTTGTAGTCAGTCGTCTCTGATAAGAAAATGTGCAATCAGCATATTACAACTTGTTGCAGATCTTGAGATGGAATTCGAAAAACGCAGTAAACAAAACCAGACAATGCATCCATCACATCATAGTTACGATGGAGAAAATGATAATATATCAGAAGCTTTGATGACAGCAGAGGCAGCAGGAGAAGAAGAAGATAATGACGAAAAACTAGAAGATGCAAAATATAAATTACACTACTCAGCCTCTGGCACAGATGATAAACAAAAATATTCTCGTATAATTCATGTTCTTAAATATGGCGGTGGCGAACTTATCAAATTTGATACTGAGCTACAAAATTCTCTAACAATAGTTGAACATATACGTTTACAAAAATTACAACAACAAGGCAAAAAGGATATTCTTTTAAGACTTGTCGAAAGTGAAAATCCTGCTGATGCTGTCATATGGTCACACTGTTTTCCAACTTTTATGAAAATATGTATAAAACGTTTTCATGTAACTGTGCCTTTATGTCGCAGCTATGTTCTTATTCGAATTATGAAGATGCAATCGGCCATTGTTAGCGCATCGGAAGCACATGCGCGTCCAGCGCCAAAATTTCATATGCCAAAAAGCACTTATTCAGCTAACGACGATATCATTAAACAGTGGAGTTCATATTTAATTGTTGCCTGTTCCACGATCACTGTTTCAATGAAAGATGACGAACGTTTCGATCGACTTTGGACAAATAATCGTAATCGTGGTGTTATATCACAACAAGAACGTATCACATCAGCAAAAGAGCTGTTCAGAAAAGTCTTGCCATTACTTTCTTCTGAACATAGAGAAATTCGTAATTCTGTATGGACTGCTTTAGGCAATATAAATGAATTTGTTTACAGAACCTTACTTGAAGAATTAGGTCCACATATAAAATCAGTTGAAGAAGATTACAGGATTAGAACTCTTAAACAAGGTTATGCGTCAATGCATAAACGTGGTAAAAAGTTCGATAGATTGCGAACTGAGATTGCTCATGTTTTCCAATTGACGGCTCATTTTCTTCTCAACGAAAGGTATATCCGTGATTCGTCATTAATTAATATCATAATTTCATTCATTAAAGAGACAAAACAATTTCTTCAAGATGGCGAAAATGCTATGGACTGGGAATGGCAAAAACTTCGCACATATTTTTGCGGATTGATTGAAAAACTGTATGATGGAATTTCGCAAACTGAAGTTGATATAATGGATTCTGAAACTAGGGCAATGCTTTTTAAAATGATTGAAGAATGGTGTGGTCATGGGAAAAGAGGTTCACATCATCGTGAAAGAGAAGCTAGAATGCTTAGTATGGTAATGGATCAATTCAGAGATGCAGAAGATAGAAGACCTTTAACTACTCAAATGGAAGCTGATAGGAAAGCTTTAGAGTTTGCTGCATTAAATGCCATGGCTTCATTATGTGTAAGTATTTTCTTTATATTGTTGTTAAAATATATATATTTTTAATTTCGAAAAAAAATGTATATATTTTATTAAGAAAGGACCAGTTGAATCAAGCTCCATGAAAAAACAGCAACAAAATTTGCTTGATTCTGATAGCATATTTGAATGGATTCAATCTGTTTTTGAAAATCCGCAAGATAAACTTCATCCAATTGCAAGGTTTAATGAATTTCACATCAATTGATTAATTTTCTTCTTTTTCCTCTTTCTCAAATTTTTCATATCTAACCCATGTATTTATATAGGAGAGCACTTGAAGGGTTATTAATTAGTAATAAAAATAATCCAAGTTTTCTTGAGGTACCAATTCATCTTTGCTATTCAGGAAATCCACAATTTAAGAGCACACAAGGATATTTCTTGGCATTGACAGAAGTATTTTCCAAAGTTAATGATTATCCTTGCGAACGACCTAGTAAAATTTTATCATTAGCACTTTTCAAGGTAGGAGATGCAGAATTGGAGATTAGAAAAAATGCTTTAAAATTATTAAAAATAATAGAAAATCGTTATTGGAGAGAAACTTTCTCGGACGAGTTTGAAGTAGGAATTACAAGTGAGCTATCGTCGATCTACAAACAAACACAAATTCTCTTATCGACAAAGCTTGCTCAACTGGCTCGAAAAAGAGATGAAGAAAAATTTGGACAACTCAGTAATCTGAGTGAGATGAATATTCAAAATTTCACTGAACTTTACGAAGAAACTCATTTTATGTTGTCAGAGGTTACCATGAGATTTGAATTTGTAGTGGAGAAATGTAAGAAAGATATGCTTGCTTATTTGGTACCCTGGGTTAGAAACGTAGAACTACATTTTACAGAAGAAGGTGAACTACATCCTACAACATTTATAATGATTTCAAATTTATTTTTTATTACGGTGAAATATGGTGATATGTTTGTGAAGGAGATCAAAAAAATTTGGCAACAGTTAGTAATGGGTGAACATGTACGGAATATACGGGCTATAGTGAAATTTTTAATTGATGTTGGACTAGAGAAACGTAATCCTATTTTTGTGTCACATGCGAAAAGAGTATTTGTATATTTAGGTCGTACACCCACACGTGCAGCAGTTATTGAAGCATTGGTGTCTGAAATAATACCAAAATCAATGAGCCCACAATCTAAAGAAACGGGTGAACAAAAGGAATTAAAGACTTATGGAATGCATCTTTCAAAAATAGAAGAAGCGATGCCACAACAAAACAAACGTCCTATATTTTCATCTGGGCAATTGGCAATGTTATATATGGTTGATATGGCAATAGAGGCTGGTGCTGATTTTGAATTGCATTTACCAAGATTACTTCATGTTTTATTTGTACAATTAGATTCGACAAATTTACTCATCAGCGAGGAAACACGATCATTATTGATCAATTTGATTCATTCGATGATACTTAGTAAATCGGTGTATCCGGAAGTGGTTATGCTTGCAAAATCATTGGTGAAAGAATTAAGAGCTAAGGAAAGTTCGCAATTATGGCCATATGAAGATATCACCTATAATAATAGATCTATAAACAGTCTAGTAGAGCTTGAAAGATTACTAAAAGACGTAGTGACGATTTTTGGAGTAACAATTTTTGGAGAAAGTAATCAAGATGACTTGAAACAAATGTGGGGAGAAATGGCATTAAAATGGGCGACGTCGTGTGCGGTTCGACATATAGCATGTAGATCTTTTCAAATATTTCGCTTTCTGATCCCAGTTTTTAATGAGCACATGCTTACAGATGTATTATCACGACTTTCTAATACAATATCCGATGCTTCCGAAGATATTCAAGGATTTGCATTGGAAATACTGATCACATTGAGCAATGTTGTTGATTGGCTTGAAAAAGATACTAAAGAAATATTTCCACAACTGATATGGGCGACAATTGCATGTCTTCAAACAGTCAATGAGCAAGAATTTTTAGAGGTGTTGTCAATTTTAGATAAAATATTAGATAAATATGATTTGTCAGATGAAGAAAATAGTGCGATTTTGCGGAGTTTCTTCCCGGAACATAAATGGCACGGACAATTTATTGGTATTCAACCATTGTTGATGAAAGGGATTTTGTCATCAACAGCATATCAAAAAACATTTTACATGTTAAAAAAACTGCTGTTTATACAAAACGAACAATTGATTGACCCGACACCGTGTAGATTGATGTATCTGATACTTGCTAATCTTCCAAGATTTGTACATGCATTGGATGATGAAAGCATCAGGGAGGAGTGTAATGAATGGGCACTTTATTTATCAGAAATGTCTGAACAACAAGATCGAACAAATCTTGCCAAGATTTTAAGCTCATATCATAAAGGTCGATTCAGATCTAAGGAGGATTTTTTGAGAAACATCACATTGATTATACGAGAAAATTATTTTAATGAGCATCAAGTAGAGATCATAATATTTTTCATGAGTCTTCTTTCAAATAAATTACCATATTGTAAATTGAAGACGATGACGATAATCAAGACATTGCTTCCATATGTCAATACAGAAAATCATAAATTTATTTCATTAGGATCTGAGTTGATACTACCATTATTGCGACTTTTGCAAACAGAGTATTCACAAGAAGCATTGGAGGTACTTGATGAAGCGATACTTATTGTTGGTGGGCCTAAAGATAAACAAATTTTAAGAATGAGTTTTAATACACGGAGAGGAAAAGAGAACGAGACAACTATTAGTCTATTTGGTGAGCCGGAAGAGTCTGGATGGTCAATACCTGATCGTAATAGTGCGATGGAAATGACCAGGAACGATGTTCACTCTGTGTGCTATACGTGTAAAGTGTCGACAATCTTACCAGATCCTGACTATCAATTCTTTGCAGATATTCCTATTGATACATCGGCTTATGGAGACGACACACCTACAAGAGATTATAAATTCCGTGAGATTGTATCAAAACTACAAGATTTGAATGAATACTTTTTGCCAGGGGATGATGTTCTTAGTAATGGCGGGGGTAGCAATGGAAGATCAATGACGATGTCCTCTTCGTCATCTTATCAAATGATACCAAGAATAACAGAGCAAGATTTAGGAGATATGGAACAAAATTTTGATGATATTAATGATCTGAACTCGAATGAAGAATATGATGATGATGATTACGACGACGACGATGACGACGACGACGATGACGATAACAATGATGATGACGATAATAATGATGAATTATTGTATGAAGAAATATTGGAATAAAAAAAGTGATAATGGAGAGCATTTGTATTTAATTGATCAACAATTATTTTTATTTTACCATAGAAAAAGTATTTGATGTATTATTAATTATTTTTTTGAATAAATTTATTACTCTAATTAATTTAAAACATTATACATAGAATTCTCTTAATAATATTTTATGGTTTATGGTCTAAGGATCCCCAGATTTTTGCACAACATATTAATATAATTTATTATTACAATAATAATAATAATAAGGATTATAATTGGTGAAAATAAGACCCTGTTTATTTAAATATTATGAAGGTCGTCTCGATTTCAGTGAATTAACTGGCTTTGATGGCGAACTAGCATTTATACCAGTAAATAACCCTAGTATATGAGCTAAAGACACAATGTTTTTGTAGTTACAGCAATATTATCTTTTCCTCCAAAGTCACAATATTGTGGTTTGTTAGTTTTTCTAAAACACTTCTCATCTAACTTCTGAATTACCTCGTCATTTTTCGAATTACTTTGGTATTATTATTATATTAACAGAACTTAAGCTTTCTATTGGTATGTGTTAGAAATAATTTTTGGTGGCCAGAAAAGGGGTTAAGTCGGATGATCGGAAAATCTAAGCCCGCTCGCTATGCTTATGGTGACAAGCTCTTCCATTTTAAATGAATGGCATTCAATTACACAAGATATTGGTCATCAGCTATTCACTGAATATTTGCTTTTAATTGATAAAAACACGGAATATTCAATGAATATTATTAGGTGCAGAAACAATTCGGGATAGAAATACAAATTGAAATATTTCAGAAATTAAAAAGTGGCTATGGCTAACAACTTTCGTAGTGAAGATTGACAAGTTCTATACATCTTTAATCTGTTCTTTGTGTGATGGGTGATTTGATAAGCATAAAAATTCTGGTCTGTCAGAGTCTGGAAATCAGTCTGTCTGACACATTGGAATCAAGATGTTAATGCTTTCCTGTAACATTTTTTTGCACACAAACACTTATGGAGAAAGACCTGATCTGTTGATAAGGAACTCTCTGCTGCCATTTTAATTGTGGCAGGATACGTCTAGCTGGTTGCAGTGGCGATGATGATGACTTTCTATGAAGCCACAGTTACTCATTGGATCTTTCTCTTTCTGGTTTAGTATGGCAAGGTTACTTGTTAATGCATGCCTCGCAATATTTGGTAAAAACTGTAAATAAAACCATATTAATCAATGTAATAAACTTGAGAAAAATTAAAAAAAGATTTATAAACTTGTTCATTACTTGTCATGTCATTTTCATATTACGTTTTTATTTTTTCTTGCAAACTTCAACCAAAGGCTAAATAAAAGAAATTAAAGTTAGAAACATTTGAAAGTTTGACTCTTCTATTCATACAGAAAAACAATGTCAAAATTGTCACAATTCGGCACACAGCTTCATCTTGGATGTTTCATCTTTATCAATGATTGGGAAATCAATTGATGAAAAAACTGTGGTCAGAGCTCATTCCAGATCACCAAGTTGTAGTCAATTCAAACATTGATGTTATTTAGTGGTGATGATGTTTAATAAAAGAAACAACAGATTTCGAACTTATTTATTTATTATTACACAATGAATGATATACTTAAAATAATAGTGCAAATTCCAAAATAAAAGAAATATATTTTTTAAGATAATTGTGAAATAAAATTAAATTTAGGATGACTATGGGTTATTTTCAATACTACAACTCCATGAACAGGAATTTTATCAGATATATATCTAAATTTTGTAAACCAAAAAACCAATAAGATTAATCAATATTTAACAAAAAAATTTTTTTTAAAAAAAAACAGTTTATGTTCTTTACTCACTCTTTAGTGAAAGATCCAAGATCCTTATGTTGCCATAAATCTCTTAATAAAAGAGATGTTGTATTTGAATTGAAACTCGAAGAAAAGAATGGTTCAAGTAATTCAAATGGAAATTTAATTGAATAATCCTCATCATTACGATTAAACAAAACTTTTTTCCCCATCAAAAAATAAATTATTAATTAATTAACGCAAATAATATATGTGGTAAAAAAATATTTAATTAATAAATCACTTACTGGCAACTGCATGTTCTTGAGTGTCACTAGAAAGTTCCCCAATCCATATATCATATGATATTGTAGAAACTTTTTTTTGATCTTCATATTTTTCACGATGTGCTAATTTTGCTGATTTACCAAGTGGGTCTTGGTTAATACCAATGATTTCTGTATTCTTTAAAATTTGAATTGTTTCATCTGTCATATTACGAACATCACACCCAATTAATAATGGTGATTTTAATGCTGCCCAAAGTGCTAAAGAAAAAGATTTATAAAAATTTTAATAATTAAATAAATATCAATATTATATTCATGTAATATTAAAAAGGCAAATATATATATAAATATAAAATATTATTATTTACAAAAATGACTTTTATATTCTTCAAAAGTCATTCCCCCATTTCCAACTTCCAGCATATCTAAATCATTAAATCCTCCTGGTGAAGAATATTCCTCTAGACCAACTGTAGAATCTAATATTTCTAACATTCCACATGGATAACAATTACGGGGATCATTTGTTTGATTAGAAGTAAAATAATCATTAATGTCAGATGTTGTTCTCCATGAATTTCCTATATCTGGTCCCCTTTAGTTTGAATATTTAAATATGTAAATTATTATTACTATTATTATTTTGATAATAATCTTTTAAATAAATACCAAATCCAAGGATCTTCTTTACCCCAATTACATATTGAATATAAAATAGGTCTACCAGTTATATTCAATGCATCATGCATCCCTAATAAATAAATAAAATTATTATTATATTTTATATACATATACATACACACACACATCATATATACATAATAAATCTCATACATGTATATCTTTTTTGTGCTCCTATTCCAAAATTCCAACAATTATCATATTTAAGGTAATCAACTTTCCATTTTGCATATAACTCTGCATCGAGATCTTCATGAATTAATGACCCTGGACGGTTTTCACATGTCCAAAATCCTAACATAATATAATGAATAATGTTGATGTTAGGTATGTTTGTATGAGTGCATATATTTATGTAATAAATTTCTAAATTCACTCATTTTCAAATATAAATTATTATTATTATTTACCAGCACTTGAATATAAACCAAATAATAATCCTTTGCTATGAATATAATCTGATAAACTTTCCATTCCAGATGGAAATTTCTCTAAATCTGGAATAATTACCCCACCCCAAGTTCTTGTTTTTTGCCAACAATCATCCAAATTCACATATTGATACCCAACATCACTCAAACCTGTTTCAATTA